AAGCTTGACTCTTACTTGAAAGATTAACAACACTACTTTAACTGGACATTTAGGTCCATCTAAAAAGTTAGAAATAACTTTAGAATGTTTTCAAGTCTGTGTTAATTGTTGATTTTATTTGGGTGGTTTTCCTTGTACAGAGGTGTTTATGAACTTAGTTCTTTTAGGTTTTCCTAACTGGGCAGGAACCCTGAACTCTTATAGCTAAGCTTGAATTTCTCATTTGCTTATGTGTGAATAGCTAAACATTTCAATGAATGGAAATTTATATAGATGGAAAACTTGGTGTAGATTCCAGTTTGCAGAACGGAAATATCCTCATAGCATTTCTTTCTTTCTTTCTTCTTTCTTTCTTTCTTTCTTTCTTCCTTCCTTCCTTCCTTCCTTCCTTCCTTCCTTCCTTCCTTCCTTCCTTTCCTTCCTTCCTTCCTTCCTTCCTTTCCTTCCTTCCTTCCTTCCTTCTTTCTTTTTTTTTTTTTTTTTTAAGATTTTACTAATTTGTTTGACAGAGTGAGACCATGAGAGGGAATACAAGCAGGAGAAGTAGGAGAAGGAGAATCAGGCCTCCTGCCAAGCTGGGAGCCTGATGCGGGGCTCGATTCCAGAACCCTGGTATCATGACCTGAGCCGAAGGCAGACGCCTAACGACTGAGCCACTCAAGCACCCACCTCATATCATTTGTTTGCCTTCTTTTGGCTTATATTCATATTTGGTACCTGTAAAAATATCTCTCCATGTTAGTAATAAAAGTTTAGATCTGTAAAACCTTTCACAACGCTCTCATAAAATATCAACAAGATCCTTAAGGCAGAAAACCACATGTTACTCTTTCCTTGAACAGATGAGGAGACTGAGGCTCAGAGAAGGTGGTTTGTGCCCAGCAGCTCTGCGAGGTGGCCCAAGAGAGCACTGAACCCACCTCTCATTCAGGGACCCAGCTCTTCGAAGTTCACCTTTCTTCCAAAGGCATAAAATACATAAAAATATGCAGTGATCTACAAACTACTATCCAAATGGGAAGTTAGATCCACCCATTCATTAATATTTCAAAATATTTGTCAATATTGAACCACAGATGTTTCTCATTCAGAGCAGTGTGTGAGAAAATTGGGTTCGACAAGCCAGACAGAAATCTAAAATAGGCATTGCACTGTCTGCTAGCAGAAAACAGACATCTAAGTAGCCCGGAGACATGTGAAATAAAGTATTATTTCCACTTGCTAGCTCAGCTGGTTGTTCAGGCATTGAAAAACTATAAAAACTTAGGTTTTCTCTCATCAGTTGCTATGTAGAAAATGAAAGCTTAGGAGAATTTTGGGGGACAGAAGTTTGCTAACCTAGACCCAGATTCTGCAGGTATCATAGTCTTGACTTTGGTGTCAGGACTTGGATTGTGTCAAGTGATAAGAATTTATGCTTTTTAGCAGCTGTGAAAATGTCATCATTGTGGTATACTGTGCAAATTCTTTTCCTCTGATTTCTATTTCAGTGTTTAAATGGGTGAGAAGAACATTAATTGCTCTCGTTCAGGTCACATTTGGGAGAACCATCAACAAGTGAGTTACATGACATTAGTATTTGAGTTCATGCCTTACTTTTTGCCTTAATGGTCAAATTATTAAACTCGTGGTATGGTAGCCAGTGATCTCTCTAGCTGAAGGTTTTGTATTTTCTCATTTTGTTGCTGCTATTATTCTAAGATTGGATAGAGAGACAGGTTTCTGAAATAATTTCTCCCATAGAATGCATGATGAACTAGATGATCAAAGCTTCAGCTATCTTCAGCATTCTGGCTGAAAGGGCCAGAAAGTACTGTTCTGCAGAGGCATCTGGCTGCCTTAAATTGTGGAGTGTGAGACTTTTGTGGTTGTGAGTTCGAGCCCCATATTGAGTGTGTAGAGGTTATTTAAAAACAAAAAACAAAAGCAAAAACAAAAAAGTTCTGTGAAGTTCTCTTTTGATCATGATGACCAGTTGGGGTATCTTGGATACAGCGTTTTTATGTTATAAGATGGGAATCAGTTTACGGCTTAGACTCTAACCCGAAATGAAAGTAGGATGAGCATCACATGACATATATTTATTTGGAGGGAAATGCAAACCATATTTTTTTTTCCAAGTTGGGATAACATTAAAATAGTAATCCCTCTTATAGTTAATATCTTAATATCATCCATTGAGATATATGTGTATAACATATAACAGTATTATAAGCCATATGTGTATTCTAAGCTATACATAAGAGTTTATATCCAGTACTCTTCAAGAGATAACATGACTTCCTGCACAATAAAAATGTGAATCACTTATGCTAAAAGATAAGGGGGAGAAATCACAGCAAAGTATGTTTCAAGATGAAATTATTGGATTTTCCCATGTGAAAGATCAGTTATCAAAACCACCACAGTAACCTCGTACAAATGTTTATCATATAAATCATAACTTTTTAAGGAAAACATAGTGAAGAACAGGTTATCTTCTGACTTATTCACAAATAGAATATAGTTTCCTTTTGGTCATAAGCAAAAGTTCATTTCAATTTCTGAGATCTTTAAAAAATGATATTAGTGTCTTATTTAGTTTACTTAGTTATCTAACCTTTTGTTTTAATCTGAAACATGGCCCGTATATCTTACCATTTCAGTCTAACATGAGCCTCTTAACTGTTACATAGACAGGCCTTAGATAAAGAAAATTCCACCATGGCCCTATATTTCTCAGTACTCCATACTTGCTAATTTGTTTTCCTTTTCAGTTTCAGCAAACCATGCATACTTTCCTTGCTCCTATCTATGATAGTGGCTCTTACTTAAAAATGAGCAGCCGTGGTTTGTGAGCAGTGAATACATTTGGCAGTTACTTTCATGGGACTTGGAGGAGGGGCATCATGTAGAGGGTTTTCAAGCTGTTCATTTCAGTGGGTTTTTTATCAGGTAGAGAAATGATGGAGCACCTGGCCCTTTGCTATTTTTGCCTTTACAAGAGATGACACATCATAAAATTAAGCAGTGGTACAATGTGTGCCTCTTGCCTTGTACCAACTATAATTTCACATACCAGAATTGATTCAAAAGCTTCCTATGGTTTTGGCTAATTGAGAGTCAGACTTAAATTGGTAGAAAATACTTAGGTGATGGCCTTTTGTGAGAGTCATTTAGCTAATTTTAAATTGCAAATTGAAATTTTCTTACTTAATTTCTTCATGTAGTGCCAGTGAGTGACTCAAAGCAAGACTACAGAAAAATCAAGCTGTCTGCATTTTCATGTAGATTTTTTTTAAGGTAGGAGGTTGGCAGGTTCTCTCTTAAAGCAGAAGTCCCATTAAATTAATTATTTTATTTGGTCTAGATATGAATTGCTCAGGTTTTTTTTTTTAAGATTTTTTTTATTCATTTGAGAGAGAGCACATGCATGGGGAGGTGGGGAAGGGCAGAGGGAGAGGCAGACTTTGAGCTGTGCAGGGAGCCTGACATGGGGCTGGAGCCCGTTGTGGGGCAGGATGCCAGGATTGTGACCTGAGCCGAAGGCAGACGCTTAACCAACTGAGCCACCCAGGCATCCCTGAATTGCCCAGTTCTAAGCAGGATAGGGAAGTATCGTAGGAGACATGTAGTTACGGACAGAATTAACATAGTTTTGACGCATGTTGGAGTTTATAGACATCAATAGTAACTGATTCCTGTGCAAAGTACCACGGCTCGAAACCTCTATTTCAGATAGTATTTCTGAAAGCCTTACATTGTCTCTTTAAATAGTTAGGAAGTCAGATTCTTGAAGGCTTTTCGATTTATTATTATTATTCATGAATTGAATTTGAAATTTCAAGATTTTCTGGCACTGACAAGATGATTCTTTCCCCCTTTTCCCCTTCCAACCTCACAACTGCTCTTGGGCTCTTTGAACTGTGTTACTTGTCTCTTGACAGCAGAAATCCTGGAATGGGTTAGCATTTTACTAATGACTAATGAGACAGGGCTATGCGGAAGAGCTACATAACCAGATAAAAGCCATTTATTTGTAACTGTGCAAGTCAAATGTCTGCCCAACTTTTATTCCCAGAGAAGTGTGGAATACTCTAGCAATGTATCTTTTCAAAGGCTTCCACTTTAAGATGAAAGGTAATATTTTGGGGCATCTGGATGGCTCATCAGTTAAGCATCTGCCTTCTGCTTGGGTCATGGTCTTAGCATCCTGGGATAGAGCCCCACATGGCTTCCTGCTCCTCAGGGAGTCTGCTTCTCCCTCTGCTTCTCCACCACCGTCTGGATTGTGCTCACTCTTGCACGCGCGCTCTCTCTCTCTCTCTCACTCACTCATATAAATAAATAAAATCTTAAAGAAAAGAAAGAAAGGTAGTATCTTTTTTTTCCCTTGCCTAGTGAGCATGTGAAATGCTTACCCTGGGTCAGGGCACTCTGCCTAGCATGATCTGCTGTAGCAACACCAAGAGACAGCTAGTGAAAAAGCCAGGTTCTTCCCCCAAGACTTCAGGAGCTCAGGAAAGCTTCCCAGACCACTTTTACCAGTCTTAAAATGATTTATGTTTTCAATTTACATCACCCCATGGAGAAGTTAGTGAGTTAAGTACTGTGCACAGTTAAAGTAGCTGCAGGTTTCAAACCGGTCTCCTCTGGGTTCCTGTCCTTACCGATTGCAGGGTACTACATAGCAGACATTTGGAGAGGTCGGTACCAACAGAAAAGTGAGCTCTGGGAATGATTGGTCATCCAGTACCACCAAAATGAGGAATACCTTTCAGAGCCAGAGTTTAAAAATCCAATTCCTAGTTTATTCATCAAACATTTAGATCAGGCTGTATCTTCACCTACCCATTGATAAATGCCTTTTGAGAATAGAGTATACAACTTTTAAAAACCTCATCCAAGAAATATTTTTCTCTTAAAAGACAAATCCGGGACACAGTGAACTGGATTTTCAGTGAGCAAATGTTGGTTTACTACATCAGTGTTTTCCGGGATGCTTTTTGGCCAAATGGGAAATTGGCGCCACCGACCACAATCAGAAGCGAAGAACAGAGTCAGGCCACAAAGCAGAGGGCACAGCAGAAGTTGCTTGAAAACATCCCAGGTGAGACCTGGCTTCTGATCCTGAAAAATACAGAGATAAAGGGCGAACGTTAACCCTAGTAAGGCGTTTTCCACTTACATCTCTCAGGAAACCTTATTTACAAGAAAAATGATCACACTTTTTTTTTCTTTTAAAACATGTCCTTTGCTAAGAAATTATACTGAGAATCTTAATAAGAACAGTAGTGGTTATAATGCTTTCTTTTACTTAGAAAAATGTTTTAGGACAGATAATAAATTTTGTGCTTTAAAAACCCTGCTAAAGTACACTGTTCAGAGAGATTAATTTTTTAATTGGGTAGCAATATATTAAAATTGTAGTTTGTATAAATGCCTTCTGTTGAAAATTCTAAATAAAGCTATTTTCTCTTTAAACGTTTGAAAGAACCAATCGTTCATGTTCCTCATGCCCCAGTGCCTTTATTTGTTCCATATACATCATGTACTGTTTCCCTCACTGGATATGCATAGACTGTGTACTTTATTGGTAACAGCACAGAATGTAAACTTAATCTTTCAGATACGCTTCAGAGCCTCGTTGGACAGCAAAACGCCCGGCATGGTATAATAAAAATATTCAATGCACTGCAAGAAACAAGAGCCAATAAACATCTGTTATATGTGAGTAATTTAAAGCCAACCAGAGGACCAGCTATTAATTCAATCTGATGTTTCCGTTCACAAATGGGAGTTCATTTTAACCCCTTGTGTACTTATCATTCCTGTTACTTGTAACTCTGAACCCATTATCTACTCAGCTTCATTTTTGTTTGTCTGACTGTTCAGTTGTTCAGTTTGGAAAAAGAAAAAGAGTGCCTCCAGTGTGTGCAGTTTTCCCATTCTGTCACGGGAGAGATGCATGTGACAGTTTTACATGACTGTTTAATTTTATTTCGGGAAAGCAAACTGTTTCCCAGTCATCCGTCTGATTATAATTATCAGTATTAACTATTGTTGATGGTGTGATAATGGCAAAGAGACCATGAAATGAATCCGTCTGATACTAAATGGAGTTTATATTATATTAGTCCCATCTATTGGAGAATAACTTGTTCATGGAGAAGCATCTCAGACCCAAAATGAGACTTTCTCTTAAGACATAAATATTATGAGTAAACCCTTAGAGAAAAAAAAGAAACTCCGTATTTTCCTACTTTTTTTCTTCTTTCTTGGTTCAGGTGCTGATGGAACTGCTGCTACTTGAGTTGTGTCCTGAGCTGAGAAGTCATTTAGATCAACTAAAAGCTGGTCAAGTTTGAGACTGCACAAATAAACCACCAGAGAAATGTCTGTGTAACAATAGACATGAAATATTTTCCTCTTTTCCACAGAGGGCTTGGTTGAGAACCATATTGATTTTTAAGTTCATTACCTCCCTCTAGTTTTGTGTGAAGTGAGCAGAATTTGTTGGGGGGGATACTTAATGCCATCATAGGCAACAGAAAAACACACTTCTGTAACTATTGTTTTTATTTTAATAATAAGATAAAGTTCAACACACTGATTGAAATACAAATGTTAATATGTGATAAGAACCTAGGAAATATTTTAAATATTTATGAAAACAGTTTTGTTTTAAAATGAAGAACTATGACTATTGTACAGCTACTTTCCTCACTGAGGACTCTGAACATTCCTGTATTATTTCATGTGTACTAAAGAACATTGTTGTGCAATGCTTTGTGGAAAGTTATTGTGAAAATTTTATTGTCTTTATTTTTACCAAAGATTTCCCATAGTTTGAAGCATTTGAAGCAATGAAATATAAAAATGGGTCACTGAGCTCTATGATGTGTGAGGTACTTACATCTCAAAAAACGAGGTTGAAACACTTCAGGCAGTTTAAATATTTATCAGAAACCTTTTTTGGGAGGGGGTAAAAAGCACTGTGCACATAAATACTTCCGCAAGGAAGTACAAAGTTGGCTGCCTTTCTCCAAACACAGAATGAATATGTGAAAAATACAATTTTTAGTGTGAATGAGAAGAGCCAAATTCATGTTTGAAGTGATCTGTTGGGAGAGTGGGATAGGAGCTGAACTTTGAAGGATGTGCAGCAATGAGATAGGGAAACGCAGATGGGAAGTTACTTCAGGGACTTGAGGGACTTGATTTCATCATCAAGTCTTGTGGACTCTTCGGAGCCTTGTGTGAAATCCAGCCTGTAGGTGTCACGTTGTGTGACTATTAATAGTGGGGCCATGAACATGTCAATCACTTTTCACCATCTCTTATGCAATATTAATAAAACACTTTCCCTTCTATAACTGTCCTTCCCCCTAGCCCAGGAACATTGAAAACAACACAACTAATTGGCAAAAATTCAGTCTGAAATCCATGAAGGAAAATACTGTATCTATACTAAAGTGGTATTGATTATGGCATTGCTAGATCCTACCTGCCAAGTCCTCAATATGGAATGTAAGAATGAAAGGTGAACAATTAAAAATTAGTAAACCAAATTTCATCTTTGGGATAAAGATAGTCACAGCTCTTTGATCGTTTTTTCAAGCCCGGAGGATATTTGATGCTTCAGGGTGAATAAGAATTATCCCTCACTCAGATAAGAGAAGCAACCTGAGATCACAGAACCCCAGGAACTCATCCTAACACAGTCACCGGTAATGTCCACCTTATGCGTAATGAAACCATAGCTGTTAAAGTGTATACTGCACGTGAGAAAAATCAACTATTTTGAGTCCTCAGTCTTTTTTTAAGATAAATTTTAACGTTTTCAGGAGGTATAAGAAATAGGAGCTATAAGAAGGAGCTATAAGAAATCTTAGGAGTTTTTTGGTTTCTTTTTCTTTTTTTTTTTTTTTTTTGGTTAAGGATCTGGAAGCCTCAACTCACTTGAGTTAAAGAGACTGACCCACTGACCAGTCACGGTGTATGCCACGGTCTGCAGCCGTGGTAGTTTACAAGGGCTCCCTCATGCCACAAGTACCAGCTTAATGGTAACTACAGTAAACTGAAACTTTAAATTTTATGTTGGATTCACTGAAGATAGTTAAGTGTAATGTTTCACCCCATATGACACCTGTCAAATTCCTACATTTGGAATTTCTCAGACCTATATTTTAATAGCAGTTACAAAGCAGTCTTGACTTTGGGATGAAGAAAGAAAGCATATTTTATTAAGTGTGCAGTTAAAGCCAACAAGCACCACAGTATTACATTCCTATTTTAGGATTCTTAAAAGCTTAAGGGACTGGATTCAGTGTGGAGAAAAGAATACTGGTTGGAAGTTTAGATTGTCAAATGGCTGAAGGAATATTATATATGGATGGTATTAAGAGAACAAGAGTGAAGTAAGTGAGCTTATATTGTAGAAAGAGATTTAAGCTAGGTATTATGAAATCTTGTTATGGACTTGAGCTATTGAAACATTAGTGGGGGAGAATAGAGACTCTTGAGTAGAGATTTTTAAAGAAAAGGATTAGATTTCAGGGATGGTTTAATTTTCTCTGTCTTAAGAGATTTAAGGGAGAAGTATGTGATCTTTTGAGGGTATCACACAGACCTAAGTCTATGGAAAGTGCTTTTCTTTATATAGAGACAAAATGAAGTTCAAGTAATATAGAAAAACCAGAGTACAAAACAAGAACCAGCAATTTTTGCCATACGGAACTTCTTTAGTGACTGGTACCTGCGTATTAATTATACTAAGATGAGACCTTGTTTAGATCCTCTTTTGGGAAGGATGATTGCGATTTATAAAATAAAGACACATCGGTATGGTGTGTTTTCAGAGAAGGTGTTGTGAAGGTATCTGGAAGACACTGTTTCCAGTGTGTTTGTTTCACAAATGTACACTGCTACACCATCTTCTCCATCTGGATGGTACTATTTAAATAATTAACTTGTGTCTTCACAGATCTCATTAATGTAAGGAAAGCTTCTTGCTAATTTAAATTTTTAGCATATTTACTGTTCTTATATTGATAGATGATTTGAGATTTTTTCATATTTTATCTTGCTTTGAAATGCATCTAAGTTTTTTTAAACCTACAAAATGAGTCTAAGCACAAAGAAACATCTAGCTTAACTGGTTATCTTATCAGGAATATAGCAGTGGTTTTACTCATTAAGATCTTTAAGGGGAGATATGGAGAGGCAAGATTCTAAAAAATTTCTTAAACCTACTTTTTTTCAAGTTTTTAATAAATTAACCAATTATTTGTAAGAATGTCTTTTAAGAATACAAGATGTCCCAAAAGACTTAGTGCAGTCTTAGTTTTAATTTCTTCAGAAGTATAAATGCTACACAAATTTATTTAAAAACATTATTTGAAAATTTCTTTAAATTTCTTTATTTCGTATTAGTTTGGTGCATCTTAAAAATTTTAAATGACAGCAAATTAAAATTAATAATCTGTCCAAAATCCACAAAACTAAATAAGGGTCAAAGAAATTTAAGGAATTAAACTTGCAAATGGTGTTTTTTATGTTTGTAGCATATATCTGAAGGAATTATAGCTAAGACTGCACTAAGCCTTTTAGACACTCTATTAAAAGAAAAGAAAGAGGTATTTGTTTATGGAATGGTTTTCCATATTTGATGTGATCTAGGCCAGTCTGTAAGCTAAGAGCTGGATCTTTAAGGACTCTTTTTGCAATTTGATCCTATAGCTGGGTTTCAAGTTGCAAAATTAGAGATTTAAGAACGAAGGTAACATGTCATTAGTAAAATACCCAGGATAATGTAACTTGGGATGCAGAAGATAACCAAACGTTGCTCCTGTAAAAATACACACATTCTACGGTGTTAGGGTTGATGATCTTTGTTGAAATCCATTATGGTCTAAATTCTTTGATGAATAAGTAAACAGTGAAGTTCATCTGCCAATGCAGGATTGAGACGACAAGCCTGAAAGTCAAAGATAAAAAGTCCGTAATTTAGATACATTTTGAATTGTTAAGGTCTTACTAAAACTTTAAAAAAAGTTTTAGGTTTGTTTTTAAGAACTACAATGAATTTCAAGGGAATTTCTTAGTTTTGACACATTTCTATTTTGATTTCTTAATAAAAGAAATTCAAATTAGCCTATGCAAAAAAAAGATCTTACTGAAAATAACCATGTTATTGTTACTGTCATTTGAAAGAGAAAATTTTATGAGTGCGAAAGAAATCAAGGGAACTTACACACTGATGATAGTGTTCTAGGTTGTGAATTATTAAAATAAGTAACATGGAAAGCATTAGCATTTGGCCTCAAACTTGCTATTATCTTATTATATGAATAGCAGCAACTTTATGATAATTTTATTTTAAAATAACATTTTATTATGATAAAGTAAATAGCGAGAAGTAATAGTGCATGAAACTGCATAGAAGGTCAAGAATTTGGAAGAGACATTGGAGGTTATCTCATTCACACCTGACTCCATGCAGTAATTTTTCCTTCAGGACCCATGACAGTAGGTTTGCTTGGTTGCTAAGTCACCATCTTATAGGGAAGACTTTTGTTTTTATTTCTCAAGCAGTTGTATTAGGTTTTTCTTTATACTAAGCTAAAATTTCCCTCTGTGTACTTTAGAATCAATGAAGTGGTCCTAGGAGAATATATCAAGCTGGTTTCGTGGCGACCCGGAGAGGCAAAGTAGTTGGTATTTGCCTCATATGACAGGATTCCATACCCTTCACTGGCATGCTACTTTTGAATTTTCTCCATTTTTAAAATCATCTTCTGTAAAATACAATGCCCAAAATTGAGTAATGGGGGTATTATCTCCCAACATGTGGAAAATAGTTTTAAGATTACAGTCTGCTTGTTTTGCTGTTTTATTTGGGATAAATATATGCCACATTTCAGCATATTTTTGACCCAGAATTTTCTCTGCTTATATTTACTTAGAAAGGACATGATGGATACCACAGAATCTGAAATTGACTTGGTTTGGAAATTGGTATAATACAGAGCATTTAGATTTTTAAAAAATTTAAAGACAACTGTTTTTCTTACTGGTAGAATGGTGTAGTGGTAAATCTTTCAAACAGCAGTTGTCTTTATGTACTGTGTTCCTATGTTTTTGTGTCAGTATGGGCTTAATACTTTGGAAATTTTAATTTGAAACAATTTAGGGTTTCCAAAATTGCACATTGGAGTCCCCTGGAAGGCTCATGACTTAATTGTTCTGAAATAACCTGAGCTTTGGAATTTTTAAAAGATTCCCAGGTGATTTTATTTTATTATTTATTTTATTATTATTATTATTTTTTATTTTTAAAAAGATTTTACTTTTTTTGAGAGAGAGAGTGAGAAAGAGAAGGAGATTCCCTGTTTAGCAGGGAGTCAGGGTGATCCCAGGACCCCAGGATCATGATCTGAGGCGAAGGCAGATGCTTAACCCACTGAGCCGCAAAGCCGCCCCCCACCCAGGTAATTTTAATGTAGACAAGTTTGAGAACCACTATGATCCTATGGTCAGATTCAGGCAAAGGATTTAGAAAACTGTTCATTCCCTTGTTCCCCTGCTCCAGGCAAACAGCTTGTGTACCCCCACGAATTGCTTTATAAATTTTAAGAAGACATAATTCTAGTTTGGATTTGATGGATGTCATGGACCTAAGGCATGCAGTTTTTATTATATTTATTTTTAAAAAAATTTTCTTGCAGTTACTATTCATAATGATTCCCCCTTTCCCCACCTCGTTCCCACTTTTTAAGTTGCTTGATTTTAGAGGTGAAATCCGTTTGGAATCTAAATCACATGAAATCAAACAGGAAAAGTCTCACTTCAACTGATTACCTCAAACTCATGAATATTCCTCCTAAGTGTGGTAGATGTCATACATAACACTTTTAAAAACTACATATCTTTAAGGTACTAGAATGAGAGTAGATTCACACTTCAGCGTGGAAGAAGGCATGAATATTCTGGCTTTAAGGTCTCTCTCGGTGCTGGGCCTTAGGCTGTAGAGTAGCAGAGTGAGAGGGAATAATATGCATCAAAATGGGACTTCCATCATCTAGTTCAATTATGCTAATAATCTGTTGAATTATCTGCAAACAATTCATGTGTCTGACAACCTCTCCTAGACAGGTTATCTGCACAATGGTTAAGTAGGAAAAAAAATACTAATCCATAAAGATGTTCAAGGCTTAACTACAAGTTCGGAAATATCTGTTTGGGTTCATTCATATAGATTCTCAGGCTTACTTACTTTAGAATAGTATTGTTTAGCTGTTGCTTCATCCTTTGTGATACCCAAGCCAAGCTGAAGGCATCGGGCATGGTAGAAAGATGCCATGGCCATGCCTCTCATGATGAATTCTGGGAGACAGTCCGTGACCTGGGCTATCATGGGTATGTCGTGAACCTCATCATAGTCAGCAATCCTGTTGTGATGTTTAATTGTGAAATTATAAAAAGACATTGCTTTAGTTTTACATTTTTACAAATGACATATTCAGAGATTCAATATTCCTTGCGCCCAAAGTGATTTCCCCGTTTTTCCCTGTTTGAGGATTAAGTTGTTATTGGTGAAGGGTAAATATAATAGAATATTTATATATAACGTATACACTTAGATCTTATATATAAATTATACATATGTATATGTGTATAAATATACATATGTATAATTTATATATAATAGAATAAATAGAATAAAATAAAACCAGGGGAAGAGGAACTACCAGAGTGGTTATGTCACAGCTTCTCTGTGATAATACTTGTCAGGCTTAATAGCCATTAGAAAACAAAAAGGTTTCTTTTTTTTTTTCTTGTAATATTAATATTTTAAACTCAATATCACTTTGCGATTCAAACAATGGGGAAAAAAGAGTTTTCTATTTCTTTGGATCATTTATTCAAACATTAACCTTAAATTTGCACTTACGTCACACAGGATCAGAAAACATACTAAGTAACTAACACATCTGTCTTTGGTAAAAATGGGCAATAATAAGAAGTCCTCCTTTATCACTCTGACACAAGCATGGAGAGTTGTGTGAGAATGTGAGCTACTCAATTCAATGTCACCCGTAAAATTATGGGGAATAGGAATGTGGATAATAATGGAAAGTCTGAAAGATTTTAAGAACTATTTAAAGTCTTGGTGTTAACCAGATGGGTACTTGAAGATTGGGGACTTTGAGGATCGCACTTTTAAGTGGCCCACTGCCTGGAAGCCATGATATTGGGGGATGAAGGGTGGAACCAGCTCTTTTATCCTACATTGTAGATGGCTGCCCCACCCTGGGCGAGGCCAGAGGGGGGCCCAGGGAGTGGCTCAGTCAGGCATTATTGGGAGGGAAACACATCAGCATGGCCTTATAGCCTCTCTAGAAGACATCCAGGTTTGTTTTTCCTGGTACATTACTTTTTTTAAGTTATGAGCAAATAGATGTAGGAAAGTACACGGGCTCAAAGAAGAGAAATCTCCATATATTTTATAAGATGTTAATGTTGACATTTTTAAACCATTATTCTCATTGTACAATCTTATCAAGCTATCTTGCAGCCGTGCAGTTATAGGACATGTGGCTGAAGAGTCTAGAAGAAATTAAAACATATTTAATAAGTGTTTCTTATATGCTAAACTATGTTAAGTACTTTATATACACTATGTTTATAATGCTATCGAAGCATTTTCTTCTTTATCAAAAAGGAAATTGATGCCCCAAAAAGTTAAAGTTGATGAGGATCACTCAGCCGGAATATAGAGCCAATAGCACTGAAATCCTGAAGAGTAATGGCATAGAATTATGCTATTCAATAAGGTAGCTGTTAGCTACAGTTAGTTATTTAAATTAATTAAAATGCAGTGAAATGTATGTTCAGCGCTCAGTGGCACTAACCACATTTCCAGCGCTCATAGCCATCCTTTCCAGTACTGCAGCAAGTTCTATCGAACAGACCTGGCACAGAAAGAACATTTAGTAAATGTTCCGTAACATTTACTGTAAATACGTCCGTCCAGCTTATTTACCTTTTGGAAAACGAAACACACTTAGTAAAAAATTTCATTTTGTAGTAATACTCCACGAGATTCCCTTGAGCATAGACATTTCCACGTTCTGCAGCTTCCCGTAAGCACTGCAAGGCAGCTTCAGTATCCTGGCGGATGCCTTGTCCATAAAAATACATTAGTCCAAGTGCACCCTGGGACTCCAGATTTCCATTGCCACATGCTTCCGAGTGCCAATAAAATGCCTAAGAAAAAACACAACTTCGTCTTATTTATTATTCACCGGGCAGAATTATAAGGGAATACTGGGGGGAAAAAAATCTCTCATTATAAGGTAGTAGTATTAATCTCCTGGAATAGTTCTAGCACCTTGAGTATATTTCAGGTTAGCAACAATTTCACATACCTAGAAGAGAGTGCTAAGGTGAGCCCACCTGTCTTCTACCCACCATGTAGGTTAGGCCACAGTCTAGACTGCAGCTGTTTCAGGATTCACGATTTCTCATTTTTCCAGAGGAAGGACTGGGAGGGTAGGAAGTAGGAGGTAAGTGTCTGCTAGGCTTTGAGACACCTGCAATGAGGCACTGCAGGGAGAGGAGAGCTGCCGATGCTGAAGGGCAGTCAGGTCCAGGTGGATCTCAGAGATGGCGCCTATCGAGATCAGAGGCAACCGAGGTAAAAGCCATGTATGGTCACGAGCACATGTGCTCAATATGCAACTGCAGTGAATTTGAATTAGTTCAAAAAATTATTTTCAAGTAGCTGTTCAGTTATCCAAAGTGGGTCTTGGTTGCTATGTGTTTAAGTTTGTCCTTAATGCCTCCTACAAGTAGGACTTGGCTCTACATTTCCTTCTCCCTAGAGGATTTCTTTGAAAATGTTTCAGTTATTGATGATTAAAGAGATTGTATTTCTGTAAAAATCTTTTCTTTTTTTAAGATTTTATTTATTTATTTGACAGAGAGATCACAAGCAGGCAGAGAGGCAGGCAGAGAGAGAGGAGGAAGAGAGCCTGATGCGGGGCTCGATCCCAGGACTCCAAGATCATGACCTGAGCCGAAGGCAGCGGTTTAATCCACTGAGCCACCCAGGCGCCCCTTCTGTAAAAATCTTAAATGGATTTGATTTGTTACTAGGGTTTTTTGTTTTTTGTGTTTTTTTGGTATTTTCCTTATTAGCTTCATAACTTTCTCAGGACAAATTAACTTATTCACATGTAAAAGGATTTGGGCTATATTTCAGGATTCTCTTAGCTTTCGTGGTATAATAATATTTTGTGTGTGTGGCTTTTTATAGCATGTAAAATTCTCGCACATCTGTGGACTCCTTTGGTAGAGGTGGAGATGAGTAAAGCATGAAATGAGCTTTGAGATACTAAAATGTGAACTTTACATTTTAAAGAATTATAAGAGATCTTTAAAACTAAACACTCATTCTTTACCATCCTCCATTCAAAAAATAGTGAAATATCAATCTACATGTGGTGCTAGCATTAAAAACAAATAGAGCAGTGTTACCTTTTCTAAGTCTTTAGGCTCTTTTGTTGAATAATACAATCCTAGGATACTTTGAGCCTTCACACTAGCTTTAGGATTTCCATTGTCTGCAGCAAAAAGCCACAGTCTGAAAAAGAAAGGCAAGGCAAATTATTCTTTGTGTCAGCATTTGATTTAAAAAAAAAAAAAAATCTTGTTCTCAGGTAAAACTACCTTTCAGCTTCCTCATCTGATTGTTTGAGGCCTTTCCCTTCATAATAAGCTCTTCCAAGGTTGTAGGCAGCTGCAAACTGTAAGTGTCTTGCTTTGGGACATGGAGAATCAACAATTTTCTTCATATATTCCACTCCTTTTTCCTTCCACAAAGGAAAAGAACAAACAAAAAAACCCTAGTTTTTAGTTTTATCCAAACTAAATTCTTTCTCCCAATAATATTGTAAAGTGTTCACCCTCTGACATGATGTTTGATGTCATGACTCTGTGCCCAGACAGGATGGTTGTGCTTTAGTCTGCAGAGCTGGAAAGAAAGGAGGGCGGAGGGAGGGAGGGGAGATACGTCTACTGAGTAGGCATTCCCAGAGCTCCAGGATATAAGGCATTTCCCTCACTCTATAGCTTTCAGAGTTGCATTATGTTTCAGTATGGTTTCTTTTTTTCTCTCCTCCTTCCTACCTTATCTCCCTTATTCTGCATGGGCACAGTTTTTAGTACTTATCAAAGTACAGGAATAGCTGTAACTTCTTCCACATTTATATTAGAGTACATTTGTGAGCCCCAAACACTGTATTCTCTCTTTAAGCACACCAAGTATGCTCAGTGATAATTTACATCCAATATGCTAATCTTCATATGACATCTGCTTAGTCGCAAAGAGCACAAGAAGACACTGCCCCCTCCAGAAATCCATCAGACACAAATTTTCAAACACCACTCCAAAAAAGAAAATGTTTGACCATCAAACACATTGCTTATACACTACATTCTAGCTTTTATCCTTCACTGCTCTCTCCAAGTTCTGTTGCTGGCTGAACACCACAATAATAGAAAATAAAGATGTTTGCCTTCTAGTGAGTCCCAATTTATAAGGATTTATTTTTGTGAATGTGTCACATGGGTATTTGCCTTTTCCCCCAAACCTAATAGTAAGAGGGAGCTTACTGGTAGTCAAGTGATGTGATTATGTAAATCCTTCCACAGATAGCAATGTCTAAATCTGGAGCAAACATTAAAAAATAACCGACTTTTTAAAGTAGGTTCCAAAAAAGCCCCCCAACTTTTTAAAGACACTGGAAAGTTTACCAGAGGACACACAAGTTGGAGAGATTATTCTTTTTTTTTTCTTAAATTAACATATAATGTATTATTTGTCCCGAGGGTACAGGTCTGCGATTCATCGGTCTTACACATTTCACAGCACTCACCATAGCACATACCTGCCCCAATGTCCATAACCCAGCCACCCTCTCCCTACCTCCCCACCCCACAGCAACCCTCAGTTTGTTTCATGAGATTAAGAGTCTCCTATGGTTTGTCTCCCTCACGATCCCATCGTGTTTCACTTTTTCCTTCCCTACTGGAGAGATTATTCTTAAAAACTGCAAATGGAAGGGATCCATGAAGTTCAGTGAACCCCAGGCTGGATAAACACAAAGTACCTTTCCTAGGTATACATCATAGTCAAACTGCTGAAAGCCAAAGAAATCTTGAAAGCAGCCAGAAAAAAATGACACATTAAATACAGGAGAACAACTACATAATTAGTATTTCAGAAGACTGAAATCACACTGTGCATCTTTTCTGATTACAACAGTATGAAACTAGAAATAAATCAGAAGAAAAAAGGGTGGGGAATACACATGGAGGTTAAATAACATGATACGAAACAACCATGGGTCAACAAAGCAAAGAAGAAATCAACAAAGTATGTAGAGACAAATGAAAATGAAAACACAATATCCCCAAATATTAGGACATAGCAAAGACAGTTCAAAGAGGAAAATATGTAGTGATACAGGCCTACCTCAAGAAACAAAAAAAAAAAAAGCTCAATCTAATCTTACACCTAAAGGAACTAGAAAAAGAAAAAACCCAAGGTTTGTAGAAGGAAGGAAATAATAAAGATCAGAGCAGAACTAAATACAAGACTGAAGAAAAATGTCAATGAAACCAAGACCTAGTTCCTTGAAAAGTTTAACATATGCCAACAAATTGAACAACCTTGAATAAATTCCTAGAATCATCCAATCTTCTGAAACTAAATCAAGAAATTAAAAATCTGAACAGATTACTAGTAATGAAATTTAATCAGTAATCAAAACACTAACAAAAAAGTCAAGGGACAGATGGCTTCACAGGTAAATTCTACCAAATATTTAAAGAAGAGAGAATATCTATCCCCCTCAAACTATTCCAAAAAAATAGAAGAGGAAGGAAAGTTTCCATGTACATTCTGTGATGCTAGCATTAACTGATACCAAAACCAGACAAAGATACCATAAAAAAACTGCAGACTAATATTCCTGATGAACATAGATGCAAGTATCCTCAACAAAATATTAGCAAACTGAATCCAACAATACATTAAATCAAGTGGGATTTATTCCAGGGATGCAAGGATGGTTCAATATTCACAAATCAGTGTGATAACATCACATCAGCAAAACAAAGGATAAAAATCATATGATCATCTCAAGAGACACAGAAAAAACATCTGGTAGAACTCAACATCCATTCATGATAAAAACTCTCAACAAAGTAGGTTTAGAGGAAGCATACCTCCAACACAATAAAGGCTATATATGAAAACTCCATAGCTAACATCTTACTTGCTGGTGAAAAACAGAACTTTTCCCCTAAGATCAGGAATAAGACAAGGATGTCCAGTCTTACCACTTTTATTCAACATAATACTGGAAGTCCTAGCCTCAGCAATCAAACAAGAAAAAGAAGTATTCATTTTTTAAATAAGCAAACTGTCACTGTTTATAGATGACAATGATACTATATGTAGAAAATCCTAAAAACTCCACAGAAAGCTACTGGAAGTCATAAATTTAGTCAGTAAAGTTTCAGGATATAAAACTAATACTCAGAAATTAGTGGTATGTCTACATACTAATAACAAAGTAGCAGAAAAAGAAATTAAGTAACTCTCATTACATGGGTCACCTGGGTGGCTCAGTTAGTTAAAGCCTCTGCCTTCGGCTCAGGTCATGATCTCAGGGTCCTGGGATTGAGCCCTGGGTCAGGCTTCCTGCTCAGTGGAGAATCTACTTCTCCCTCTGCCCCCCTCCTCCACTCCCACTCATGCTCACTCTAAAATAAAATCTTTAAAAAACTCCAAAACTTCCAATTATAACCAAAGAGAATAAAGTACCTAGGAATAAACTTAACTAAAGAGGTGGAAGACCTATACTGTGAAAACTATAAAACACTGATTAAAGAAATTGAAGATGACACAAACAAAATGGAAAGATATTCCACACTACTGGGTTGGAAGACAACATTGTTAAAATGTCTGTCTTACCCAAAGCAGTCTACAGATTCAGTGCAATCCCTATCAAAATATCAAGAACATTTTTCACAAAAGTAGAACAAAAAGTACTTAATTTTGCATGGAGCCACAAAAGACCCTGAACTGGCAAAGTAGTCTTGATAAAGAGCAACAAAGCTGGAGATATCATAATTCCAGATTTCAAGGTATACTACCAAAGCTATAGTAACCAAAACAGTATGGTATTGGCACAAAAATAGACACAGAGATCAATGGACAGGAGATAGAGCCCAGGAGTAAACCCACAATTATATGGTCAATTAATCTATGACAAATGAAGCAAGAATATACCATGAGAGAAAGACAGTCTCTTCAATAAATGCTGCTGGGAAGAGCGGACAGTTACATATAAAAGAATGAAAGTGGACCACTTTCTAACACCACACACAAAAATAAAAGGGTCCAAAGACTTATATGTGAGACCTGAAACCATAAAATTCCTAGAAAACAGGTAGTATTTTCTCTGACGTTGGCCATGAGAACATTTTTCTAGATAATGTCTCCTAAAGCTAGGGAAACAAAAGCCAAAATGAACTATTGAGACTACTTCAAAATAAAAAAAGCTTTTGTAGCACAGTGAAGGAAACCACACCAAAAGAAAAAAGCCAAAAATCTACTGAATGGAGAAGTTGTTTGCAAATGGTATAGCTGATAAGCAGTTAATATCCAAAATATATAAAGAACTTACCCAACTCTGTCATATACACAAATAATCCAATTAAAAAATGGGCATAAGACCTGAATAGCCATTTTTCCAAAGAAGACCTAAAGATGGCCAACAAATGGAAAGATACCCAACATCCCTCATTGTCAGGAAAATGCAAATCAAAACTACAATGAGCTATCACTTCACACCTGTCAGAATGGCTAAAATAAAAAAGACAAGAAATAACAAGTGTTGGTGAGGATATAGAGAAAAAGGAACATTTGTGCACTGTTGGTGGGAATGCAAACTGGTGCAGCAACTGTGGAAAACAGTATGGAGGTTCCTCAAAAAAATAAAAATAGAAATACCATATGGTTCAATAATTCCACTATTGGGTATTTACCCAAACGTAATGAAAATAGTAATTTGAAAATATATTTATGCCTCTGCATTTATTGCAGAATTATTTACAAGAGCCAAGATATGGAAGCAACTTAAGTGTCCACAGATAGATGAATGGATAAAGAAGATGTGGTATATATGTATTTGTATGCACACACACACCTTAAATTAATACAATGTTATATGTTAATTATATCTCAATAAAAATAACAGGGGGCAACAATGGTAGTAGTGAGTTACTTCTTGTTGGAATTAATGAAGGCCAGAAGATTTGAGAACAGCATTTTTATTTATTTTATTTATTTATTTTTTAAGATTTTACTTATTTATTTGACAGACCGAGATCACAAGTAGGCAGAGAGGCAGGCAGAGAGAGAGGAGGAAGCAGGCTCCCCGCTGAGCAGAGAGCCCGATGTGGGGCTCGATCCCAGGACCCTGAGATCATGACCTGAGCTGAAGGCAGAGGCTTTAGCCCACTGAGCCACCCAGGTGCCCCAAGAACAGCATTTTTAAAATGTGGAAAAGAAAAACACGACCAGCAAAAAAATTCATAAAAAATGAAGGCAGATTAACAACATTTTTAGATTACCACAATCAGAGATAATTCATTATCTGCAAACTGTACTATAAAAAGTGCCCTTCAAAGGAAATTCTTCAGGTTGAAAGGAAAAGAACATAGTGCCAGATGTCTACACAGGTTGATAGGAAGGAATAAAGAGTTCCAGAAGTGGTAAGTATGTAACAAATGTAAAAGGATACACACACACACACACACACACACACACACATATACATATGTGTACCTAATTGTTTTCCTCCTAGTTTCTTCAAAAGATATGACTAAAGCAAAAATTACACTTTTATATTTGGGGATTTATAATATAATGTAAATTTAAGAAGTATACTATGACAACACTAAAGATTGGGGGTAGGTGGGTAAATGAAAGCATACTTATTCAAGGTTCTCTTGTTTTACCTGAAGTAATTCAATATAAACTCCATGTAAATTGTGATAAAAGTGCATACTGTAATCTCTAGAGCAACTATCAGAAAAAATATGACTAGAAAATAAGTTTCATCACCATTTCTCACTGAGTTGAAATAGCAATTTTATGATGTGCTAAATACTCCTGTATCTGTGTACATCTGTTTCTGGACTCTTGTTCTTTTGCTCTTTGCCTTATTCCTGAACAAAACCCCCAAACTACATTGCTTTAAGTACCACGGACATATATTTGGCTTTTTGCTCTTTAATATGAATTTTTTAATCAGCTTGCCACATGCCATAAAAAAATCTCATAGGGAATTTGATTCTGATTACATTTAATACGTGAAGTTAAATCTGGGGAGTGGTTAGAGGTAAGACTTAGGAAAGTAGTGTCTCTGGGAAACCAGCGCTGCTGCCTGACAAGAGACAGTAAATTTCATAAGCTCCTGCAGTCTGGCACTGAATTACACTCCAATGTTTACTGCCTGATGCTATGGAAAGTATTTAAAAACCTTTTTCGGATTCTATGAAATAGGAAGAGAAAGGCTACATAGGTAAACTTGTCCTCACCACAATTTTATCTCAGCCAAAAATTTGGTTGCTTTACCCATTTTCCCCCAGTGCTATTTCCAGGTTGCATTTGTAGCTTCCTCAGATACCGCAGCGTGTGTGATCGTTATCTCTGTGGGGTAATAATGACCTGTGAATGCTCCCTGAAGAAGACGGTTCAGATCTACCGTGCAAAGTATATACGGTTCAACCAGCCTCTGGACCAAATGAGTATCAAGAACAACTTGGTAAATTAATAAAAGAAAGCGATAAAAATTAAGAGTGGGCTCTTTGGCCCTTTACTGCAGGTTAAGAGTATAATCAAGCTAACAGGGTCACTCTAGGTGAGGAGGGACCTTCAGAGGCCATCTTTATTCTCCTCTGGCCTCCATATGTAATTACATTCAAGCCATTGTTTGGAGTTGCCCTATGCCAACCCATTGAATCTGCTAACCTTCTGGCTCCTCCACTTCTTCATGTTCTTAATTCCCATATTTTCAGCTGATTCTGTATCTGTGGCCATACTCATTTCTTTGTTCCTGTTTTCCTCCTTGGCCCTCATCCATCTGGCAAATAAACCATTTCTCTGCCTACTCAGCTGCACTCAAGCAGCTGAGCATGGTCCTTCTTTAAACCCATGATCATACATTTCAGAGTGAGCTCTCCGCCCTGGCAAACAGTACTATCAATTTGTCTCATCAATTATCTGGCCCACTTACCTGGTAGAGAAGATACAATTTCAGACTTTATCTTTTCTCTTCACACTTCTACTGCTCCCTGCCCTTTCCCTCATTCTCAGTTCATGGCTTCACCTTTTTAAAATTTTTATATTTTTATAAAAAAAAATGGAGTGTTTCATGACTTTGTATGTCATCCTTGTACACAGGGACTATGCTAATTTTTTCTGTCCTTCCAATTTTAGTACACATACTGCTGAAGCAAGCATATGGCTTCACTTTCTGCACTGAGAAAATAGAAAATCAAAAGAAACACCAAATCCGTGAATTTACCCAGCTCATCATTTTTTCCCTCTATACTAGATCTCGTGTATCAACTTACAAATATACTGTGGCATCTCTGTTCTGGGTGGATCCCCCCTCGAGTCCATGATCCCTTCGTTATTGCATATGCATCTGTTCTGCTTTATGGTAAAACTCAGTGCTTCTGTCTGCCTTCTCACCTGCAGTCGTCTCCTCAGCCCCCTTTGGCCTGCGTCCCTTACCACTCCACTGCAAAGGCTGGTCAGTCTGTCCAATGAGATTCATCTTAATGCGCCTAATTGTAAGTGCTCAGTTTCCATTAAACTCACCTCAGCAGAATTTGAGACAGATGATCACTCCCTCCCTCTCTCTCTCTCTCTCTTTTTTTTTTTTTTTGTGAAGATTTTATTTATTTATTTGAGAGCATGAGAGGGGGGAGGGTCAGAAGGAGAAGCAGGTTCCCCGTTGAGCACGGAGCCCAATTTGGGGCTCCATCCCAGGACCCTGGGATGGACCCTGAGCTGAAGGGAGATGTTTAACCAACTCAGCCTCATGTTGTTCCCTCCATCCGAATGCCAGTCCTGACCTTATAAGCTGTTCTTGTGGGGACGCCTGGGTGGCTCAGTGGGTTAAAGCCTCTGCCTTCGGCTCAGGTCATGATCCCAGGGACTTGGGATCGAGCCCCGCATCGGGCTCTCTGCTCAGCAGGGAGCCTGCTTCCTCCTCTCTCTCTGCCTGCCTCTCTGCCTACTTGTGATCTGTCAAAAATAAATAAAATCTTAAAAAAAAAAAATAAGCTGTTCTTGTGTCCTGAGCATCAGCACCTGTCAGCGGCTCTGTGAAAACAAGTCCCGCCTTGTGCCTAGCACACGCACCTGTCTCTGTTCAGGACTCACAACTGCACTCGTAGTTTTCCTCAGACTATGCGCTCCTCTTCATACTGACCGTTGCTTCCCCAGCATCTCAGACTCTTCCTGCCTCGTAAATGTTTGTGGAATGAAGGAGTGAGTAAAGAATACAATGAATCCAACTAAACTAGAGCTGGATAAGTCACAAGAGTACGCACGTACCTCGGGGATGGTAGAGTAGGTGCTCACGGCGCGAAAAACAGAGGCGGATATTTTTTAAGCTGCTTTTGTGTCCTTTAAGGCAACTCCATCGATGATGATGACCCCCGTGAATGGTACCAGTGCACAAAGAAACGCCACTGTCTTAAGTGGTAGGATCTGTGTGTGTTTTAAGCATCGGGTTTGTAGGTGAACTAGAGGTGAGTTCAAAGACCTAAGAGATGCTCACTGAACATCGAGAGAGAGACAGGCAGTTGGTGGTATGGCTCTCAGCAGGAGGCTCTGGTGTGAAGACAACAATCTGGACGTCTTTGAAAAGTGTAGGGAATGTTAGCCATGGGGTGGGATGAGCTGAGAGAGTAAGTGGGGGCAGCAGAGGCCTAGGTTCTTCTTCTTCTTTTTTTTTCCTCAAAGATTTTATTTATTTATTTGACAGAGAGATCACAAGTAGGCAGAGAGGCAGGCAGAGAGAGCATGGCCACCCAGGTGCCCAGGGGCCTAGGTTCTGACATACTTCAACACTTAGAAGAGAAGTAGCTGGCAAAGGACAGGGGAGGCTATGGAGAGATGAAGAGGGAAAGTTGTATTCCAGACACATACAAGATTTGATGGAAGATTGGGGCGCCTGGGTGGCTCAGCTGGTTAAGCGTCTGTCTTCAGCTCAGGTCATGATCCCAGGGTCCTGGGATCGAGCCCCGAGTTGGGCTCCTTGCTCAGTGGGGAGTCTGCTTCTCCTTCTTCTGCTGCCTGCCACTCTCCCTGCTTGTGCTCTATCAAATAAATAAATAAAATCTTTAAAACAACAAAGAACCCCCCAAACAGTAGAAGATGATGGTAAGAGTTTTATAAAGCATGGGAGAGAATCTTAGACACCAAGAGGAAGATGTTTCAAGAGGGGTATGGTCAACTGTGCTCAATTCACGGTTAGAGCAATGTAGTCCTACATTCGACATGTTACTGTGTTTTTAACAGGCTAAATTATAAATAGTTTAAAATAAAATATCTTGTATTTAATGGAAATATTCATTTTTTCATCATTTACTTATTTCATGTGCTATGATTATAAAAGAGTACAAATGAAGAATTTCAGGAATTAAAGTGTAGTCCCCATTGTTAACTTTATACAACACAAAGTCAGGAAAGAAGACACTGGTTGCTAACTACACGTGCCTTCCTTTATAAGTTGTTCAGTCTCTTGACAACCCTGCAAGTTAGGTGGACGGGTTTTATCTTGTGTGCTGCCTCCAGTGGACTGAATTGGTAATGTCACCTTCAAGCGATGTATTGATAAAAGTCCTGCGCTATGTCTGGATTCAACTATTAAGGGGGCTGTGATCAGTTATCCAGGATGGCCAAGGGTGTGGGGAAATGACAGATATATCTCTAACTTATGTTTATTTGTCCTCCTTTTACAAATGTGGAAACTGGAGTCCAAAAATAACTTCCCCAAGACCATCCTGCTTATAAGCAGTGAAGTGAAGATTTGAAAGCCGGTAACTTTTCACAAGTTGTTAATAGACCATTATGGATAGAGCAGTTTTGCTAGGGAACACAGAGAAATGAACTTCTGAGCATCTCTGAAAAATTTAAAAGTAAATTCCCCATCTTTATTTGATAGTATGTGAAATGTCCTTGTAAGATGAGACATAATAAATAAATAAATAAATAAATAATAAAGCCCATAAGGAAGAGATAAAATTATAAAACTGGTCTCCAAACCCCATAGCTCAGTTTATTCTTTATCTTCAAACATGCATAAATAAATATTGATGCACATCAATTATGCAGGCATTACAATAATAATATAGATTATATTTATTGACAAGGAGAAGCACATTCAAAATACATTGTTAGGAGAAAAAGGATATAAAAAACATATAGAGTATGGACCTACATTGAAAAAAATGTACACACACACACAAATATATATATAATTTTTTGCATGGGGTAATACATGGAAGCATGTACTTTAAAATAATAACCAGGGTCATATTTGACAGTAGAATTTGGTGATCCCTTTTTGCTTATTTTCTAACTTTCCCCATGGAATAATTTTTTAAAATAAAGGAAGACATTTTAAAACAAAAGTGTTATTGACAGTCAATATTAGCAAGGAGGGGGCGAAAAGAAATTTTGTGTTTCACATAAATGTAAAAATGACTACTGCTATCCTTTAAATACTAAAAGGATAGATATTATTAAAGTATAAGTATAGAAATATATTATTAAAACATAATTTTAATTCTATCAAATAATCCGTTAACTATGAGGTCTTTAGAGACCATGAACAAAACAGTAACTTACAGCGTCTGTAGGTGTCCCCAGCCCATCATAATACATCACTCCTAGCTGATAAGTTGCTTGATGGTCTTTCTCCTTGATTTCTTCAAACTGTTCTAATGCTTCTTCATACCATCCCTAAAAGCTCCCAGGAAATATTGAATTATTTTCATTATTACCTTAAAGTAATCCCAAATACTTAATTCCCACCTAAAAATTTGGAGCTAGGAGCTCCAAATATAACAAAAGACGGCAACAAATTTATGGAATTTGCAAGTATGGCATCGACAATAGTCAGCATACTATAAAATCAATTAAATAGATGTGAATAGGGCAACTGAGGGTAGTGACCAGGAAGAATCTCTTTGGCTTTCACTCTTACTTTCGGATATTGACAAACTTCTCTTGAAATGGTAGCACAGCCCTCTTCAATCCACCCTACCATATACCCTCACCACTTCTGGAGTCTGAGAAACTTCAGAGCTGGGGCCAGAGCATCAGAGAAAATGTGAACATCAGGATATTCACTATCATTAAATATCCACTACTTGGATGGCTCATGGCCTCCAGGGTTGCAGTTCTCCAGCTAGGGAGAAGACATGGAACAACAAATGTGATTCTCTAAAATTATCTTTCTCCCATGCTTCCTTTGGAAACCTGCATGTTTTGAGGCTCCTCAACAGTGCTATGATCTGATGCTATGGTGTGAGGGACTAATGGGGCTAATATCTTACTCCACAAGGGAAAATGTCTTGCACTAAAGACTGAATCCTTTGTAATCATGGAAAGAAAGTCTGTTACTAAACTGGAAAGTTATTACTTAGGGAGAGCAGACCAGAGAAAAGCAACTTCTGGAAGGCACAATAGCAACTGAAATCCTTTTTTCATAAACTATAATGAATCAACAAATTGACAAAACCAATTAAAACTGCACCAAAATACTAAGAAATACTGATTTTAAAGAACACATAATAATGAGTTAATAACCTAGCTGTTAAGACTCATTCTCCTTTCTGGCTAATGATTGGCCTAGATGTGAGGGAGCTGGAGAAGTTAGAATATGCTATAGGAAGAAAGAGAAAGGAGGTCCTTTTAGTTTTCATGATTTTTAATACCATCTACATGCTGGAAAATCTCAAATATATATTTTCAACCCAGACTTCTCCTTGGAGACCTAGACTCTTAATGTGTAAGTTTCTACTTTGAAACCTGTCTGCATGGATGACAACGGACATCCGAAACACCATGTGTATGAAACCCGAACTCTTGACTATCTTCTCAATAGTCACCCTCCCCATTCCTCTACTTTTCAGTCCATGACGCTATTATTTGTGTCTCCAAAGTAAATCCAGGACCCAGCTTCCACTGCACCATTCTGGTCAAGACCAGCATCCTCTCTTGCCTAAATTAGTATGATTTCCCCCTAAACTGGTCTTGGTTTCATGCCTGCCTTCTAATCTGTTCATCATGGACTCAAGACACTTGAGTGTTTTCTTATTACAATTTAAACAAAGCTAATCTAAAGCCATTCTCTGCCTTGCTTGTTACCACATTGGTCTCAATTTCTAGAGCTCACAGAGCACGCCCTCATCTCTGAAACATTGCATTTTCTCCCCTTTGCCTGGAATGCACTTGCACTGGGCTGTTTGCACTGCTCACTTCATTTTCTTCAAATTAGTTTCTTTTTTTTTAAGATTATTTATTCATTGGAGAGAGCATGAGCGAGCGAGAGCAGGAACAGCGGGGAGGGTGAGAGGGAGAGGGAGAAGCAGACTCCCTGCTGAGCAGGGAACCCGATACAGGGCTTCATCCCGGGATCGGAACCATGACCCGAGCTGAAAGCAGACACTTAACCAGCAGAGTCACCCAGGTGACCCTCTTCAAATTAGTTTTAACCACAGGTCTTCCACCCTCTCCCTAAGTTAATCTCTTAACTTACCCAGTTAACTGCTCTCATAGTACTCCTTCTTATTTGTAATGATGTATTCATTTATTTCCTTCCCCTAGTAGACTAAGTTTCATGAAACGGGGACTATTCTGGTCCCCTCATCGTGATATAGTCTGAACTTAGCATAATAATAGTGAACACCTATAAAAAACACGTATTGGGTGCCAGGCCCTGTTAGTAATACTTCTACAATGAATACATCCTTACAGTGGCTCTAGGAAACACACATTACCCGCTTTTACAGATGAAGAAACTGAGACTCTAAGAGGTGAAGTCTTTGTATCCAAGGCTACACAGTTAACAAGTACTAGGAATCATACTACCTGACCTGATGCTCCAAGCTGAGATCATTCTCTTAACCTATGCTAGCTTCACAGTGACAGGTGCATGATGAGCCCTCAACAAATATTTGTCGTCAGAAGGAAGGATGGGGCCGTCAGATTTAGGGGTAAGTAGGATAGAGGTTAATAGCTGCCCAAATAGTCAGTGAGTGTTGACGGGACTGGGGACAGCTGGTCCATTTCCACATGTCCCCATGGGGGTCAATGAAGGACTGCTGTTATATATATTATATGTTTTACACAGTTTTGCCTACATCTGTGCCTCAGGATGCCTCAGTGTAATGTGGAGAAAGAGGGCAGTTACCCTCCTACCTCTGGAGAGGAACATATGAAGCCTCTAAGTGCTGGGTAAGAATCAGGGTCTTTAGTTGTTGTTCATATGAAAAGAATTTATAAATGATATTATTTGGGGCAAAAATAGAAAAGTGATATTTTTAATTTCTAATGTGAGAATGGATTATATACCAGAATGACTCCTATAAATGACTTTCATTAGAATGACTTTTATGGAGGAAGGTCAAATATCTCCTTAATCTTGTACTTAAAGCCATAACCATACCTATGGAATTTACCAGAATTCCCTCTGCATAAAGGAACTCTATAGGAAATTTTGCAATGCGGATCCAACAACAGCATTATATGAAATGAAAAATGGGAAAAATGAAATAGAAAAAAAAAACAGAGAGGGAGGTAAACCATAAGAGACTCTTACCTCTATGGGACAAACTGAGGGTTGCTGGAGGGAAAGAGGATGGGGGGATGGAGTAACTGGGTGAGGGACATTAAGGAGGACACATGATGTAATGAGCACTGGGTCTTCTATGCAACTGATGAATCACTAAATTGTACCCCTGAAACTAATAATATGCTATATGTTAACTAAATTGAATTTAAATACATTTTAAAAAATGAAAAAAAAAACAAGCAGGAAATAATACCTCTTCAAAATATAGTTGGCCTCGGAGGAAATATGCCATAGCATCCCCTCTTCTTATTCTTTCCTTCAAGAGCTGCAATGCCTTATCCACCAAATTCTCATGGCTGTAACGATCTGGTTTTAAAAAGGTAAAGAATTCCATCTTTATCCCTATGATATGAATTTCCACTCTTGAAGTCATGAATTATATAGAACTCATCTGGCACTGTTTACACTAGTTTCCTTCCTGGTTCTCATTTATAAAACTGGCCTCCTTAGCTCAAGGGAAAAAGATGATGACAGCACCTAACACTGCACCAGGTATAATCATAAAATATGTGTTGATTGGTTTCCAAGCCCACCTGGTTTACTAATAGGAGGTTGAGCACTGCAGTCTGTGTGCAGTTCCTTAGGCAAAGCTACCCTGTAGATGAGTGAAATTCCTAATTTGAGCCTTAATTAGATCTACTCTAACTAAATGAGCTAGTGCCATTCCCAATTTAATATCTGTAAATCTATGGAAACAAAATGGTAGCTTTCAATGCCGATTTGAAGTAAAGTGTGGCATTGTTTTCTTTAACAGAAGTGACATCTGGCTTCTCTTTTGCAGAAGGGTGTCCTAAAGTCTTAAGAGTAAAATCAGGATTGGAATCTAATAATGAGACTTCTCCACTGAGGATTGGTTACCAGGTGAGCAGCAATTTCTCAGATTCCTGCAGGAAAGCTAGAAAGGATTGGAAAGTTAACCAGTTCCTTCAAACCATTAAGGCTCCTATTACTTGTCTTTTCTGCTCTGGTGTACAAAACTGACTTTTGGTGAGAATATTATCAGAATTTGTACCAGTCTTTTCCTTCCTCCATTGGAAGAATTTTGGGTTCTTAGCACCATACCGGGATAGAGAGGTATAAAAGGGGTTCTTGGGCAACTTTTCACTGGTCAACTTCATCCTGTTTCCACAATGTGTATTCTGTAAACAAGAATAAAAAAAAAAACAAGATGGTAGAAGTGTCTTCCTCCAGAAAAAAATGCAAAAAGATTCCACTCTCAGTTGGCACTCATAAAATGCAGCCTCCCCACATTTGCCTAGGGATGGGGCAGCAAACTAACAAGCTCAGGGATGTGCACATTCTTTCTGAGGAACCCAGGGCCATCCATAGCTAGGAGAGGCACAAGCATCCTCCATTCTGTTTTCACAGTGTGGGATGAAAGAGGAGGGCCATTGGCAAGTCCTTGCTAGCTGTGAGTTCACATCTGCAGTGGCTTGTGACATCACGACACCTGCCATTAGCAGGAACTGGGAACCCTGCCCATAGACAGAGTTCTTGTGCACTGGTACTACGCCTCCTTACTGAAGCTCATGACACTCATTCATTTCAAACTAAAGCATTTGTCTGTTTTACCTGGGAACACACTTTATTTTAGCTGTGTTGTTCAGTTTTATCTTCCCGTCTGCATTGGATTGCCATGTTATAAGATGGATCAGAGTCGAATGGACAATCAAAGCCTTCATATAAAATGTAGAGGCCACCTCATTGGGGATGAAGGAGTCCAGGTTGGCCCAGGCTGAGGGTAGTGAGACAGCAAACTCAGTTGTTGCTATGCTTTTTTGTTTACTCCTTGGTGTTCTACTGTTATAGCTGACTCCAACCAATCAGGGACAAGCTTCCAGTAAAGGTTCCTGATTGGTGGTGAGGAAAAGAACTCAAGAGAACTTTAATGTGATTGGAAAGCGGCATTTATGCTATTATGTGAAACGATTTTGGGCAATAAATTGTTTCATTAATAAGAATGAAGTGCCGAAAAGGGAGATGATTCAGTATTGGGGGGGAAAAAACCACTGCAGTATCTTCGTCATTTTGAAAGAGGCATTTAATCTTTTAAAAGGTCAACTTCCTCATCTGTAGTCTGAACTATTAGTTTGCACTAGAGGATTTCCAAATGCCTGTTGCTAGATATATAAAATTTTTTGATTATATGATTCCCAAACCCTTTGTATCAGTGAATGTTAAAGTTTCCAGTGAGCTTTGAGGTGAAGCAATAATAGGTTAAGTATATAGAAGAAAACCGACTCAAATAGAATATTATCAATTTACCGAGAAACTGGTTACAGAAGTTTTCATTTTTCTGAAGACATCATCCTGTGTGCTATTGTATCTAAAACGGCTCAGAAAAACCTCGGCATATTCAGGAATGTCATCGGAGATGAAGCAAGTCAAGAAACATTTCCCTACCTTCTTTGAACTCATGTTGCTCTCTGTGGTTACAATACTGCACAGGGTTTTTGTTGTTGTAGTTTAAAAGAAGCGTTGCAGGGGGTCTAGAAAACATAAGCAAAGATTGATTGAGCTCTCTTAAATGCCATGTTTGTTCGAAGTGCTTCACAGGCAGTAACTCCTACAAAACTTTATGAGATAGGAGCTATTATGAGGCCCTTTTAACATATGAGAACATGGAGAAGGTTAAGTAACTTCCCTAGGGTCCTAGGGCTAGGACGTGGGACAACTGGGACAACCCCAGCATCCCTGCACCTCATCATTATTCTATACTATTCTCCCAAAACTGATGATCTTTCTAAGTGCCATGACTTCTGTAAGAGAATACACCAAAATTTAGTACTTCATAATTTTAGAAAATGAGATCTAAGAAGATTTTAAAAAGGAAAGTCTGGGTTTATTTCTGTCAAATCTTGGGGTTAGACATAAAATCATCATTTGAAACTCGACAACTGTGTGCAGAGCATGCTGTAAGTTTAACGAATTCTCTAATAAAAATTGTAGACATTAAATGATGATATAGAATCTGAAAGAAATCCACAGTCTTAAAGGGAAGTGTCAGTGTAGTAGATGCTGATGGTGCCCTTCCCAGATCCTCGTTACTACTTAGTGCCCATCTCCGGCTGCTGGCAGTATTAATTGAAAACAACTCACAGCTATTCCTTCTTCCTCTGTCCCCCTGCCAAACATGAGTCCCCTCAGTCCTGGACACTTTGCTCCCTCTTTCTCAGAGACTGATCACTGGCATGAGCACAAGGCCAGTTCCTCTGGAGAGACACAATCTGCCATGAGTCTTGAGCATTCTGGCACATCCTTGCTGGGTATGTCAAGAACACAGGCCATGACTGCTTTCCACATGGGCCATTTCTCAGGGTTGTGTTTGCAGTGAGTACCCTTGAGGGATAGGGTAATAACTCCCCACAGATAAAGAACAGGCTTGTTTCTCTGAGAAATACTAAATCCTTCCCCCTCCTCCGTTGCTTAGTTCTGTTCTCTTATAATGCAGCCTATGGAATATATGCATCTATCGCCGGTCCTTTGTATGACCTCTGTGGGAATTAGGGGTCATAGGGAACCAGTTTCAGCAGCATGCGGACAACTCTGGCTATTGTTTTTACTATGAGTGAGAAAGTCATTTACCTCTGACCCAGGAGTGTTGTGTGTTCTGCCAAGATCCATGCAACACGTTGCTTGTGAGTTATAAGTAGACTAAAACCTCAGGCCTGCACAATTCTTGGTACGCCTTTGCCTCAAGATGAGATGAACTCAGAAATATGATATGTTCTCTGTGAGATCAGAATGAAGCTAGTTGCCATCTGAGCCCACATTCCTACTTAGCATTCCCTCCTTGCCACCAGATTGTGCTTCTTTTACTTCCCTTTTCCTGAGAGTTACCACCACCCCCACTCCCTGCCCCGGCCTAGCACTTGAATAAAAATCCCTGGCTCAGACTCTGCTTCTAGGGAAACTGACCTAACAATAGAGATATATGGAGGAAGAGGTATTTTATTCCTATTTTTCTTTTTTTTTTTTTAAAGATTTTATTTATTTATTTGACCAAGAGAGAGATCAGAAGTAGGCAGAGAGGCAGGCAGAGAGAGAGAGAGAGAGAGAGAGAAGGAAACAGGCTCCCTGCTGAGCAGAGAACCCGATGCAGGACTCGATCCCAGGACCCTGAGATCATGACCTGAGCCGAAGGCAGAGGCTTTAACCCACTGAGCCACCCAGGCGCCCTATTCCTATTTTTCTAAAGTCATCAAAATAAAGGATAACTTTCCTTCCAATAAACTTTTAGACACAGTATACTGTGGATAGTATGTACAGTATAGTATATTAATATTTTGATAAAATAACACATGATTGGTAAGAGGACTAAAATTAGCCTAATGATGAATAACCTTATTAAAATGCTGGATGACGGGAAGGAAAGAATGATCTGAGAGTAGGGTAAGTCCATAGAGATGGAGACGGAAGTTATAGCTACTTCTCTGTCAGCAGAGTGGTGCCAGATAGAATTGTAGGACAGAGCTGAAGCCAAATGAGTATTTCAGGCACACTGGGACTCCTCTGTGGTTATGCCTTAGCAGGGATTCGAATTTGAATGAACATAAATACAAATGATAAATGTGAAAAGCCAGGGGAAAAAGATAACAAGTGTTTAGAACAGACTAGATTGTAGTACTGCAAGCGAGAAATCAGTAAGTCTTAATGATAATGCCGAAAGACTTCTATTTAATTTTTAAAAACTTAAAAATTAAAAACTAAAAAATTGAATAGATACAAAATAACTTTTGGATATATGTGTAAAGAATGAAGTAAAATAATACGATTAACATCCATTGCCTGCCATTTTAATGTTTAAAAGATCCATTACCTTTAAGTTTCCTGTAGGCCCCTCATTTAGACCTCATCCTTCCTCCCCTCTCAGCCGCCCTACCCAAACACTCCCTCTTCTCCCCATAAACGATTTTTTTCATGTTTCCTAGCTATTTGTGTTTTCTCTTCTGCTAGTATCTGCCTTTGTGACATTTGTCTTGTTGAGTTGTAGTCTTACATATGTCAGGCGTGTCTCTTATAAATAGGCTTCCTTTAGATTTGTTGATTCTTTGTTATAACCAGGCCGATAACCTTTGATTATTACCGGTACATTTAGTTCTTTTACATTTATTTTAATCACTGTTGAATTAGAATGATTCTGTACTTTCAATCCATTTGCTTTATTCATGTTTTTTTTTCTTTTATTACCTGTTGTTGGATTTATTGAACCGACTAGCTATTTATTTTGCTTTGAGAATGTTGAACTTCATGAGTCGTGGGTTGGTGTCTGAATAATTCTCAGACATAATGTGTTTATGTTAGTTTCAGGTTCCTAAAGCTCCTGTAACAAATTACCACAAACTTTGTGGCTCAAGACAACAAAAATTTAGTCTTTCATAGTTCTGGAGGCTATAAGTCCAAAATCAAGGTGTTGTTAGGGCCATGGTCCCTCTGGGTCTACGGAAGAAACCATCCCAGATTTCTTTCCTAGCTTCTGGTGGTTGCTGGCAATATTTGGGGATCCTAGGCTGGTAGCTATGTCACTCCATCTTGATCTCTGTCTTCACATGGCCTTCTTTATGCATCTCCTCTACCCTGTGTGTCCTCTGCTTATAAGGACACCAGCCCCTGGATTGGGGCCCACCCTAATCTAGTATGACCTCAACTTCACTTGATTTTTTTGTGAAGATCTTTTTTTTCAAATAAGGTTACATTCACAGGAATCAGGTTTTATAGGACTTTGATTATATCTTTTTGGAGAACACAGTTCAGCCCACTACATTCTTCAAATATGGGTTTATCCCTCTTCTCTTTTCTGGCATTCTACTCAAACCTTCCTCCCATATCTCTTATTCTGTTTTTCACATTTGCCATCTGTTTATCTTTTCTTGCCACATTCTAAGTATCTCTTCAGCACTCCTTCCCATTTTATTAATCCTTTCTTTAGCCACATCTGGTCTGCTGTTAATACTTAAAATCTTAATATTAGATATTTAAACATTTTTTATTGAAGTGTAACATAAATACAGAAATGTATATGTAAGTTTCCAGCTTGATGAATTTTCACGCAGATCAAGAAAGAGAAAATTACCAGCACCCCAGAAGCCTCCCTAGTACTGCCTTCTAGTTACTACATAAACCTCCATGTAAATACAATATTGCGTAAGTGATTTTCGCATGCTTTGTATACCACATAAAGGGAATCATTCACTGTGTATTATTTTGTGCCTGGCTTCTATTGTTCAACATGGGGGATTCTTCCATTTTGTAGTGTTAGTTGTAGCTTTCTCCTTCTTGTTGCTGTATAGTATTACATTGTGTTAATATACCATAATCTATCTCTTGCACTTGATGGACATTTGGGTAGCTTCTGTTTTGGACTTCTGAGAACAGTTCTTCTATGAACATTCTTCTAACATTCTTAATTGCCAAATAGTTTCCAAGTGCTTGTGCACCAATTACTTTTTAAAATTAAGTGCTTGTTTTGGATCTCTGGTGGTTCAGGTAATCTATGGTGAGATTCTTGGTTCATTTGAGTTTTCTGTTGAAATCACCTATTCAGTTAGGGCAATTTATCAGAAGTCCTGGTTAAAAGTTTTTAGTAGTCTTGACTCCAACAAGTCTGAGACAGCCTTCAATTCAGGACTTGTTCATCTTGTACAGCTGAAAGTTTGTACCTCTGTCTAACACCCCGCCATTATTCCCACCCCAGCCCCTGATAACTGCCATTCTACTTTGTGCTTCTGTGAATTTAACTATTTTAGATCCCTTATGTAAGTGGAATCGTGCTGTATTTGTCCTTCTGCGTCTGGCTTATTCCACTTAGCATAATGTCCTCCACGTTCACCTGTGTTGCAAAATTGGCAGGATTTCTTCCTTTTGAACGACTGAATGATATTCCACTACATGTAAATACCACATTTTCTTTATTCATCTGTCAATGGACTAAATGTCT